TAGTCCGTTAGAAACAATGTTTGATAGATTTAGTTGGATATGTTCCAAATTGGAAACTGTTTCAGAAACTGCTTGTTGTAGTTAATTCAATTTAAGTTTCTTAAAGATAATCGCATTTTATAATTAAATATTTGTTTTGTAAAAATTATTCTGTAATAATACAAAGAGAAATTATATTGTATGCGTTTTGGATGTTCTATAAAGATTCTAGTGTTCGATTTTGGCACCGAGATGTATATCTGGAGTGGCAAAGGAATTTCGACGGACAAGAAAAAACTCGCTACACAATTGGCTACAGAAATGTGGAACAACGGATATGATTACAGCGAGTGCACCGCTTGTCCGATTAATGCTGCCCGTATGATTGGTAATCGAAACAGTGACTCTTGTACAAGTCCCTCTGCAAAATTCGCCAAAAGCAGACCCGAATGGTGTTTACTTGCCAAATTGACGCAACACGTCGAAACGATATTATTCCGTGAAAAATTCCTCGACTGGCCTAATGTCACCGGTGTGGTAAAGACGCGAGGTCGATACGATAATACGCGACAAATCGACGGTGCTATAATTGTACATCCGGATGAAAACGACGATATGTGGCTACCAAACTCTTCTTCAGTCGATTTTATTCTAGAAGGCTGTCACTTGGGCAGAGGCACTGGTTGTTATGACAATGAAGTAATTCTTTTTTATTAGCAAAAAGTATTTGCGTCTAATATAATAGTAAAAACAAGATGTATTTAGTTTCAAAATAATTATATTTATCAAACTCCAACTATTACTTTCAATGCATTTCCATCCAGAAGAAAGCAACTTTTTTACAATAAATGTCCGCGATTCACAGGCGAATCAACGATCAATAATTTCGTTCGATTTGATTTTAGTTGAAGAAAGAATATGTCGTTGCTACAACGAGCGTTATGGTATGGCATATCGATGAATTCTCGCATACGCTTTTAAACGGATCAGCTATTGGTCAATTTTATTCTGGTGATAGTTATATCATTCAGTGGACGTATTCCGTTACAATTACTGGTGAGCTGTTTATTGAGCAATTTCGTGAAATAGAAAGATACTGTTTTAATCAGATTTTTAAAAAATAAATGTAATATTTTTCTTTTATAGGCATTAGTTTTGTATAATTGTTACGTGATCTTTATTTTTTGAGAATATGGATTTAAGATAGTTTATGAATAAGTTTATGAATAAGCTTTTAATTATGTAATTGCTTTTACAAATTTGTTTATTATGCTCTTAGGCAGAGAACTCAGTGGTTTACCATCTAAACACTCAGCAAAAGGTCGCGATAGATCTGTATACTTTATTTGGCAAGGTCGAAATGCATCTTTGAATGAACGAGGGGCCGCGGCATTATTAACAATCGAATTAGACAGCAATCGAGGTCCTCAGGTGAGGACAGTAATGTGCAATCATTTGCTATTACAGTTATTTTCTTTGTTTGAATTTATCTTAGCGTATTTAATCGTTATTTTCGAATACTGGCTATATTATTATATAATGTTACTTGTAATTTTATTTCAATTTTTCAAATTGCTTTCTAAAATTGTTTTCTAAGTGGAAAAAATGTCCTATTTAATATCTATTAAAAATCAAATATTGGACAAAGAAATATATGTTGTTATTATTGTAAATAGAACAATATTTTGTTTTATTTTATATTTATATATATATATATATATATGTGTGTATGTGTATATATACTTGTATATTCATGTTGTTCAAGGACACGAACCAGCTGCGTTTTTAAATTTATTCTCTGGAAGGATGGTGGTGCACAGTGGCAAGAAATCTGAGAAAAAATGTGAGAAACGATGGAGGTTGTATATTTGCCGAGGAACTTTAGAGACTGAGACATTCTTGATTGAAATCCCTTGTAGTACTCGACAATTAAGAAGTAGAGGTTCCTTCATATTGCTAAACACCGAAAATGCAAAACTATATATCTGGCATGGAAGCAATTCGTTGCGCCATATTAGAGAAGTATATTTCCTACAAATTTTTATAATAATATATATATAATTAATATATATATTTACATATAATTTAATTAATATATGTACAGCCGTTCACAAAAAGATTGCAACACTTTTTTTAGATTTCGGAACTCAGCCTTACTCATAGACCGATTAAACATAAATGGTTAGATCCATAAAAAACTAATCACTTGGTGAGGAAACTGCATTCCGAAACCCATCGAAAAGTGTTGCAATCTTTCTATGATCGGTTGTACATATATGGATAAAGAGATTAACATTGTGATAAATTTTATACTTTACTAGCTGTTGGATTTGTACTACATGCAAAAGAAAAACAATATATAAAAAACAAAAGCAGTAAACGAATTGATTAATCGAGCAATTTAGAAAACATTTTAATAATATAAAATTATTATTTCAAAATATTTTAATCATATTACTCTCATCTGCTGCTTAATTTTTATTGCAGAATGGAATAATCATGATTTTTTTTTTATAACTTTTTTTCTCATTTCTTTTCTCATCTTGATTATTTTCTTTCTTTATTTATCTATTTTCTATATATCTCCTTTTATCATCTCCGTATTTCTTACTTTCGTCTGTCTTTCCAATATTCATTGTTTCTTTTGTCTTTTTATAGAATGCGTTAAAAGCTGCAAATAAATTGAAAGAAAGTCGACCTGAAGAAATTGGATTATCGAATAAAAATAACATAGAAATATGTGAAGTTCAAGAAAGTATGGAACCTGAAGAATTTAGCAATGGTGAGTAAAGCTTAATGAAAAATTAACATTTAATGAATATAGAACGTATACATTCTCTTAAATTTATTCTATTGTATATTGTCATGAAAAAGAGTTGAGATTGTACTTTTGCATTTTTTAGCATTAGGTGGCATAAATAAAAAATTGTATTGGTTGTTGGAAACAGCTGAGATACAAGATCATACTCCAAAGCTTTATCATTTATCTAGTGTTTCTAAAAAATTCCGCGCAACAGAAATACTTTGTCCATATCGTGCGGACCTGCCAACACCGTTCCCTTTCTCACAAGACGATTTGTATCAAGCAAATCAACCAGGTAACAATGTCTTTGCGAAGTGCATTTTATTCTTATTTAGTCGTTATTTTAATTAGTTTTTTATGAGAAAAATTATTTATGAGAAGTTTTAGCAAAATTATTTATCCATATTATAATCACTTTTAACTCTTGTATAACTTTTAGCCTTATTTTTATTGGATGACAAGAATGTGATTTGGATTTGGCAAGGATGGTGGCCCGATAGTGAAACGGAGGATCAATCTGGAAGCAAAACTGTCCGATGGCAGGCTGAGAGAAGAGCGGCCATGAAGATAGCGATACGATATTGGCGAGAGACTCGAAACGCACAAACAACGAATCTTCCAATATATTTAATATGGGCTGGTTTAGAACCGTTGCAATTTACAAATCTTTTTCCGGAGTGGACATATCGGGATGACGTCGCTGAATTAAATATAGAGGTACATTGAGTACATCTTATTTTCTTTTCTGTTCACACCTTTTTATACTTTTTATATAGTTTATTATTAGAGAAAGAAAAGATCTTATTTGAAAATAATAACTATCCTACCTTTATTTATATTTTAGATAAATAAAAGAATTCTGTTTGATCATCTTGATCATGCGTGATTTTTGTCATAATAAAATTTAAATATGTACACAATGTAATATATATTTATAAAACATATTACTAGGATGGCCGGAATTCAGGAGAAGTATTGACTGTGGAAAATGAATTGGCTCGTCTAACGCAAAGTACATATCCTCCTGCCCAGCTGTTACAAAGACCTTTACCTGACGGAGTCGATCCAACACGCCTAGAATTGTATTTATCCCAACAACACTTTCAAGTTAGTATTATTGATTGATCAATAGCAATTGAATAATCATGTAATCGACGAATAATCTACGAATATAGATTAGCAGATGTCGGACAGAATGTTTTTAACATTATATATGTATATACACATATGTGATATTTTGTAATTTATAGGAGTTGCTGGGAATGAGCAAAGAAGAATTTCAACAGCTTCCAGTCTGGAAACAAGTGAATCTCAAGAAAGATATAGGATTGTTCTGATGGTTCGTTTTAAGTGCGATTAGCAGTAGCTGCCCTTGCAAAATGTTCGAATTTTTATTAACTGTTTCACAATATTTACAACTTGAGAATCGGAAAAAGGTCTCAACTTCTAAGCGTATTTTTCTCGAAACCTTTCGTGTATAGAGAATAAAACATTTCGAGAAACATTTTGAGAATCGATGAATATATTATAGACGATACATCTAATAATATTAATGGAAAATTAAAAAGAATCAATGCGATCTGAAAATATATTGTCAGTACTATTTGAATTATTACGTATATGTATAATGATATATAGGCGTATGTGTGAACACAGATTATATATTTTTAATACGTGCTACATGTGAAATCTGCTTGCAAACGTTTTCTTTATAATATATTTGTATGATGTTTATATATTGCGAGTGAATGATCGCTATTTTTCGCCTTATTCGTGTAACATCTGTATAAGACGGTTTCTATATAATTTACAATATATTCTCTGCATTTTTAAATAGTATTATGCAAAAAACGTATATTTCAATTTTTTTCGTCCTCTTACAAAGGGTGGCATTTAGAGCAAAACAGATATTTCCATCACATTCGAATATATAAAAAAGTAACACAATCGTTATTCAATTTTCAAAATAGAAATATAACAATGCAAAAACAGTTGATAATTTTCCAGCTTTGAAGATTATCATGTAGTTTTCTTTACATACTTACATGTACATTAAAAAAAATAGAATCAATAATATGTTACTTATTTACATATATATATTGGGAACATTTTGGTAGTCGTTTGTACAGAGATATTTACACATTTATAGCATAAATTTGAAGAGATTTATAGTTTTTACACCTAATCTATTTTTATCGTCTGCATTATAGTAAAATAGTATTTAAAAGAGAAACGATTGTGGTACGTGTGTGAAAAGGAAAAATTATGTACAAGATGAACATTTTTGTCGCAAGACTACAGCAGTATAATAGTTGAGACTATTAAAAACATATAAAATACAAGTTCTTAATTTTCGAAAGTGAAAAACTAATTCGCAAAAGAATTAATATTTCTTGATAGACTTTCGTATAATCGCCAATCTTTGTTTATGTGCTTCAGTGACAGCAGCTCGCTTGTATGGACGAACTTCATCTGTACCAAACCCAGGAATCCACATGTTCCAATTTCTTCCTAAAAATTAAAATATAAATAGCATTCATATATATATTTTTTGCATAATGTATCATATGTATAAAATTTTTTTTTCCAAGTTGCACTTGCAAAGTTTTATAATGCTAAAAATTTGCTTGGTTTAATGTATAAAATCCATATATAAGCAACATTCTCTGCTTTTTGACTTTGAATTTGGATAAAGTTTAATAATAAAAGTTTTTCAGCAAGTAAAATAAAAAAGTAACAAGTTATTAGCATAACTCACCTAAGTGTAATTGTACATCTTTAACTTCCACTGTATTTGCATGACGATGTTTAGCTAACAGACAAGCTGCATTTACCGTTGTTTCCACAAAGTCATCTGCTAATTGTAAAAGCATTTCTTCTACCTCTTCATCCAACTGTTCAGTGGGATCTACTTCTCTTACCAAATCTTGTAGCCTCGTTTTTGTTAAAAACTAAAATCAAACAGTAATATCTACGTTATGCCAATAGAGGAAAATTTTATCGAAGAATACTTGTGTTGTCAACAAAGAGAGACAACAAATTACATCATATAGAACAAAGAACTTGTACATAGACTCGGTATAATGTTATATTTGTAATAAAAAAAAGGTATCTTAAACATACCGCATACGAGTAATCTATTCTAAGGTTCATTTCCTCATTGATTACGTACTTGTGGAAAATCGCTAAAAGAACTTGGAGTGGATGACTGCTGTACCGGTTTCGGAGGTTGGGGAACGTACTGAGTTTGCTGAGATTGCGTTTGTTGAGATTGCTGTGCAGCGGTTGTCGTAGTGCCGCTTTGTACGTTAGGCAGAACCGATGACGTCTGATTATTAGGTCCCACGGACTGTAGAGTTCCAAGCACCGGCGTCATTTCCGAGACCGTTGTAGTCGCCGTCGTTGTCTGGATAGCACTTTGTTGCGACATTTTGAGAAGCGATGTAGATCGTTGGTCGTCGATATTCCTTCAGTGGATATATTTGTGTATTTTCGCTATTACCGCTTATTCTTATTCTTCTTGAAATTGACTCTAGCTTGGCCTTCCGACAGTTTCGACTCAATTTATTGCCACTGTGTTTCTGAGAAAGCGATCTTTATCGCATCCTCGACAAAAAAAAGAATTACAACATAATATCATGTCGAAGAGAAAATTACCGGTAGAATACCAGTTCTTAGCAGCTAGATAAATAAGGTATCAAATAGGTATCAACAAACTCGATCAAGCAGAGAGTAAAAGAGCATTTGTACTGATTTAGCAAGCATTAGCCGTTATCGTATATCGTATCACGTATGCCAATTGCCGCGTAGTGGGTGATGGCATCGACGAGATATTATTAAAGACCGTCAACCCTGGGCAAATTTTCGGCGGTATAAAAAGGGCCCTCAACAGCACGGAGATAATTGAAGAACGCTGACGTTATCGACAATTGATATAAATTTCCTATTATTAACATAAATATTTGGCTGATACATTATTAAATTCATGATTTTTGTTTATTACATAAATGTTCCATAAAGAAATATGCATACTTGTAAAGCTGTAATATTCCATACGTTGCAGAAAAATTACAATTTTTTCTCAGCTATCATCTCTGTCGATAATCAAACTTTCACGATTAACACTGAGATCACAATTTTAAAGAAAAATCGAGTTATTGAATTCTAAATGCATAAATATGTCCACTAAACTAATAAATCAGAAAATTAGGACAATATTATCAGTTTTGAACTCTTAATTACTTCAATATTCACAAGGCCCTGTAAAAAACTCCTGTAAGGATGTCGGTCTTTAATAGCATTTCGTCGGTGGTGATGGAAAACTGGGGAAGAGTGGCAAGTGGGAAGTAGAATATCACAGTGAAGGAGAGTGTTCAGTTTGGTCAGAGGAGAAATTCTACCGTACACTACCGCCAGTACATTCATTTTCAATTTCGTTACTACGCGGCTACATTCATTCTCCTTCCAATCTTGTCGATAAAATTATTAGCACAGAGACACGTTACCGACGGTGACGTTACCGGCGGTGACGTTACCGACGGAGTTTCGGTTTCTCCCGTACGGTGTATATAGTTTCCGGGAGCGTACGGTGTCAGACGGCGTCGATGGCGTCGAGCATGTTCCCGGAGCATGAAGCATCCCGGAGTCACTGTCACCCTGCCTGAATAGTCCCGGGTAGTGCTTACG